TAGTTTTTTTCATAAGATTGGAAAATGTAGATTTAAAAAGGGAAGATGGAAACTAATAATCCAACCTTTTAGCGGTCTTCTAACAATAGCCCCACCTTTTGATTATTCAGGAATAATCCAACCTTTGCACCCCATCTTCATTCAATGGTCCATGACCGGTTGATGACCATAAGGTGAGATTTATGGTATAATATATTGCAAAGATAAGAAAACAACTTGAAAAAGCATATCATCAACCGATCAGGGACCATTGAATGAAGATGAGGTGCAAAGGTTGGATTATTCTTGAATAATCAAAAGGTAGGACTATTGTAAGAAGACCGCTAAAAGGTTGGATTATTAGTTTCCATTTTCCCATTTAAAAATTGATTTTCCTTTAGATGAAGATGTTTGTGTCGGGGGAAGGGGCGTGTTTCCATATTGTGCATGAAACTCATTAAATGAGGCATAAAATAATTCACTAACCTCGTTATATTCTTTTTTCTGATCTATTGAGCTATCGTCATACATTGGAAAAGGACCAAAAAAGGAAGATAATAATACTTCAAACATTCTTCTAAAGAACCAAGTCTAAAACGAGGATCGAGAACAAATGCAATACCATAAATATGCGGAATATGTGCATAATATTTTTAAAAATTTTCCCTCATAAAATCAGCAAAATAACTCACGTAAGCGGCATTCTCAAATTCTTTAAAAGCACCGGCGAGATTAACAGCTTCACGAATAAATTAGTTTGAAGTAGGTTTATAAACATGACTAAAAATTTCAGTTGCATTAAAAAATATACCAAAGCATTACAACTTTTTTCGCATGTGTCGATATCAGCCGAGTTTATAATATAGTTATCATATTCTTTTAAAAAAGCAGGAAAATGTTCTTTATATCTAAGAAGAACTCTAATTAACTTATAAGTACTATTCTAACGAATAGACAAATCTGTAGGAAAAGTCACATATTTCTCACATCTTTCTATCAAATATTTTTGCCATCTTACTTTAAGTTGATCACTACCCCAAATACGTCTAATCCCCCCTTGACTACCTCCAAAGAATCTCCTAACGCTTTTAGACCGTCTTGCACACATAAATTTATAACATGGCATGCACATCGTTGATAAAAAAATCTACCCACCAAAGTAGTAGAATCACACAATTCACGCAATCTAGGTATAGCAACAGTATTATTAGTAGCATTATCAAAACCAATAGCAAACACTTTATCATTCAAATTATACTCAATTAAAATACGCTCAATCAAAATGTAAATATGTTCAACGTTGTGACGATCATTAAATTCATGAAAAGCAAGAACACGTTTATGCATATTCCAATCATTATCAATATAATGTGCAGTCAGACCCAAATATTGTAAATTATGATAAGTATCCTTCCATATGTCAGAACAAATAGTAACCCGTCCATCAAAGTTTGCAAAAAAATTTTGTAACCTTGCGTTATAATTTCTTTCTTAACAGTTTTGTGACTATAACCTCTATATTGAGGATTTAAACAACCTTGTGCATAATCTTTGAAAGCAAGACTTTAAGAAAACAAATAAGACAAATTTTCTTCAACAATTAAGTTAGCCATACCAGTCAAATTTTGTGCATCATTGTATGAGAAATTACCAAAAGGTTGTTGGTTATTTGCAAACCTCGATATTTGAGTTTGCTTCCCCGTTCCGCCGCCTAATTTTGGATACTCCACCTTGTGTTTGACCTTAAGATGCCTTGCGGCGGATCCGTATCTGCCGTAAATTCCGAAGCTATAATTTTTCTTGCACCACTTGCAAGTTGCGTTCCAATTCCCGGTGTTCGGGTCCTTCCACTTATCAAAATTATTAAGCATTAGTTCGGATTCACTTTTTTCCGTACCGGTTTGGGATGAGGCAGGCTCGTTGGCGTCGTGATTGTCGTCACCCTCCTCCTCGGCCATCTCCGGATCTACTTCCACCACATCGTCGTCCTCGAGCTCTTCTTCGTCAATGGTCATCGGGAATTGTTGTTCTGGAAAAAGCCTTTATTATGTCGGGTCAATTCTTGTTCTAGTTGTTCGTCGGACATAGCCGTACCATCCCTCCTTTGGTAACCCGTTTCAAAATCTCTCGACTTTGAGATGAAGAGCTGATATGTGATTTACCTTTGCGAGATTTCTTCCTCCCAATCTCGTTCGTTCGGTTGCGGTCAAGGTTACCCATATCAACCGAATATCTACCACCTTCTATCTTAAAAATGTAAGTATGTAACAAATATTAAATTAAAACAAATATATTAATGAGTACACAAGTAATGCAACTAATTAAAACTATTTTAATTAATACTTCAATCTAACAAGTTTACTTTAATCAAATAAAATTCTAACTATTATTTTTTTATAAAAACAATTCGAGTGAAATGTGAAGTACTTTAATTAAAATGTGAATTGAACTAAAATGCGATTATTAATAAAATATGAGTAAAAAATTTATAGCAAAAATTAATTGAGTAATGAATTAACTACTACCTCCGTCCCTTAAAACTTTGCCAAAGTTGACCGTCACGGAGAATAATAAACTAAAAACTGTGTGGTTAAGGTTTGTGCAGAGGAGAGAGAAATAACAGAAACCACAAAATAATTGATTAAAAGAGAAAGTGGCAAAGTTTTTTGAGACGTCCCAAAAAAGAAAGATGACAAAGTTTTAAGGGACGGAGGGAGTAATTTTTTGTACTAGTTATTTGAACTAATCAATACTATTGTTTAATAAATACTTAAAACTAACAGTTAACTAGTTTTTTATACTAGCTATTTTTTACTTACAATCAAATTATTATATTTTAACTTTAACTATAATGAGAATTAACTAGTTTTTAAAGTAGAGTCAAATGTAACAATTAATAACAAATTGTAATGTAGTAATTAACTACTTTAATCAAGTAATGTTAATACAAAATTAAACAAATAAGACAAATGTATGAATGTGTATACTAATTATTGGAAGTAATAGAATGAATTTAACTAATATTAATTAAAGTGTAACTAATGTATATGTAAGTATATATATATATATATATACTTAATATATATATATATATACTTAATATACTAATTAATATACTTCGAATTAATTAGATATAATTCCAACTATATTAGTAGATATAATAAATGTATAACTTATATATAATATAATGTTTATAGTATATAATATATAAGTATACTACTATAAGATGAGTAATACACTTATATTCAATACTTTAATATATAAAGTGTATATTGAGTAGATGTAAAGTGTAATATAGGTAATATAAGTAGATAATAAGTAGAGATTAAGTAGATAAGGAATATAAGTAATATAATATTTGGGGAATATGTGGTTTGGGCTCCAACGTCATGGGTCTAAGAGGCCTAGTAGAGCAACAATATCGTTAATGGGCTGAGTACATGATTTTATAAGCAAAGTATAAAGTCCCGTACGTTTTACTGGGGTTGATAGATGTTTGGCCGACGGAGGAGCACGTGGGTACCAGAGGAGCACGTGGGTACCAGCTGTGCTTGTATTTAATCTTCTAAATATTTGGGTCATGGGGTCTGGAACAATACCATATTAAAAGTACATTAATTCTCGTGCTGCGCAAAAAATCGAGCCCTTTAACTTGTTTTCCCCCTCAAACATTGGACCTCTTGGTTTTAAGCTCGTGCTGCGCGCGCACCCCAGTATACTAGGCGCACCTATAGTTCATGGGTCATTGGCTTATTTCATATAGCTCGATGTTGCGGTTCTCGATTTTGATTAACTCATTCATTGATATAGTTTAGTTTCTTCTAAGTTACTTTATACTATAGAATTAAAATTTTAGTAATAATTGTTATTTGATCGGTTTTTTTTAAATATTAAAAATAAATTGATATAAATAACTTTTCTAGTCATTTATGATGTTTTTACTTGGGCTATTTTCAATCTCAAATCAGGCCAGATCAGATCTGACTAAACATAGATAGTTGTAAAATATACAGAGGTTAGACATCTTCCAAATGAGACCAGATCAGATCAGATAAGTAAATTTTAATCTAATTTAAAACATCTTTAATCTTGTATTGTGGATGAAATACTTTTTAGTAACTTATGGAATCAGACGTGGAATCAGTAGTAGACGTGATTGCCGCTTGAATTCATTGTCTCTGGCGGCGGTAGTTTTTGTGGGAAGATTTATTCATTCTCTTTTTCAATGTTCACGTGAAAGAGATAATGATTTTTTTCACGACAATGATGATCTCATAAAAATTGGACTATGGCTCATTAACAATACACAAATGCTTATTTAGCAGAAACCACGATTTTTACATTAATTACAGAATTGATACCGAAATATTTTTATATTTTTTCATTGGGTCTGTAACTAGACCGGCTGTACGGTGCTCACCGTACAGCCGGTGGTACCATATAGGAACTCGGCAGTTGGGCAGCTATTTTAGACTTTTAGTACGTGCTACATGGTACTCCATAGTTAGTACTCGTATAAAGAATTATAAAAAGGGCAAAAGTGTCCCGTAAGGGTTACATTTAGCACTTTTGGGGTGCACCAAGCAACACCTTGATTTTATGACCTCCCAACATGCGTAGTTAGGGGTGAGCATCGGGCGGGCTTGGGTCAGGCGGGTGGGTAAAACCAAGACCCTTTCGGGTTTCGGTTGTGTAATATGGATGCCCTACCCTAGGTTTTTTAACTTGTATATTTTCGGGTTTTTTTGCATTTCGGGTAGGGCGAATTCGGTTCGGGTATCGGGTCAATTCAGTTTTATTTTCACAACTGGAATTTTGTAAATATAAGTGTAATCCAATGAAATTGCAAAAAAAAAAAAAATGATTCCCATACAAAATGTGCATATGATACCAAATATTCAAATTACCAAATTACTCAATTACAAGTCATTAAGTAACAGAGTAACTTAGGGAGGGGATCAGAATTGCAACATAGAGTTTTGGCATTAATTACTTAATTAAAAGTAATTAACATCCAAACTGGCAAAGTTCCAAGTTCCAACTAATCAAAATCAATACATCCACTAAGGCAGTACAGTCAGGGTCTTTGCTTGAACATTTCAAATTCCACACTTCCACAGTTCCACAACCATTTTCCACACCTTCAAGATCCCCCTGCATATGTACAATAACAAAGATAAGGGTGGTTGATACGGTATACCTCTGTCCCGTTGGAAGGTTCCCATAGCAAAACGGCACGGTTATTTAGGCAATAATTAAATAAAGTACTTCGAGTATATCTTGAGAAATAATTTTAATAGGTATATATTATAATGTAGTTAGTATTGATAAATGTGATGTTATAAATGTATTATTTTTAATATTTAATGCTTAATTTGTCACTTAAGATTGTTAATTGTTTCCTAAAATGGAAATAGGAACCTTCTAACGGGACGTCCAAACAAAAAGTAGGAACCTTCTAATGGGACGGAGGGAGTATATATTATAAAAATATAAATGTTTTGTTTTTAACTTTGCGCAATTCTATATCGGATTATATATTTGAATAAGTAATATTTCTATCTGAGTAAACTATTTATATTCATTTTTTATTTGTTTGACTAAGTTCAAAGGTGGAGGGTCCCACCTTTTAAAAATCGATCAACATCATGATGTTTCTGCATTACGATCATATATATATATATATATATGTGTGTGTGTGTGTGTGTGTGTGTGTGTGTTACATGACTAGATTTAGGATGTGAATGATATTTAGAATGTTTTAAATTGAACTGATTTCGATCCAGACAGGTTCAAACAAATTATATCAGATTAGACTAGACTAGATTTAAATAATACTACGTAGTAAATATACATTTATCGGCAGTTCACCAGACCTGACAAAATGCTTTTTTTTTTTAATTTTTTACATATATGATATTGGTGTCATATGAGATATCATAAAAAGTTATTTATTTTGATATAATTTTTCTAAAAATAGGAGCAAAATTGGAAAAGTTATAACATTTTATAATAAAAAAAAAAGAATTATTTGACACATGGCAGCAAGTTATTGGAGGGAGAGTAGTTGTAAAATTGTTAGGCGGATCTTGTTATCCTACGGGAACTCTATATGATTTTTAACTTAATTTTAACAAAATAATTTAAAAGGTCAAAATTGTCATGCCATGGTTAGATTAAGTAAAAATGGGAGTGCATAAAGCAACCCTATAGGAACTCAGCAGTTGGGCAGCTATTTTAGATTTTTAGTATGTGCTACTAGGGCTGGCAATATCACCCGCACCCGCGGATACCCGGTCAACCCGAACCGAAAAAATGGATGAAAACCCAAAGAAATATGGATGAAAAATGGATGACGGGTGGATTGAAAGATGGGTTGGATCGGGTGTGGATGAACACTTATCCAATCCGTCACCGACCCGTCACCCGCTCCATCCACCCACACCTGCCGACCCGCATATAAATATATATATATATATATATATATTTATATTATAATATCTATTTAATAATATATATTAATAACAGTAATAATAATAATAATTAATATTAATATATTAACAAATACTACTTATTTAATACTACCTCCGTCCCAAATTGATTTGCAAATTTGACTTTTCTTGGTCAAACAGTTTCATTTTATTTACTTAATTAGGATGTCAATTTTTAATTATATTATAATTTGGAGTTTATAACTTTGAAGAGATTTTAATGTAGTTTCTGAATATATAAAGTTTAATTATTAAAAATTGAATTAATTATCGATAGGGAGCATTGACTTTTTTTATTGGCTGATCAAAAAATGTTGACTTTGCAAAATAATTTGGGACGGAGGGAGTATTCATTAAATATGTTTTTGAGTTGTTTTTTTAATTATAGTGACAATTCACATATTTTTATTTAATATTTTTCAGAAACTTCTTTGGTTAATACCCAAGCATGTGCTACTATCATGGAAGATATGGATATGGAAGGGGATCAAAATGCTACCAATGAATGTTTTGACTCTGTAATATGATTAAATTCTTCAGTTTTTATTCATTTTTTTTGTTAATTCTCCCTCCAAGCAATGACAGTGAATTTTATATAATGAATTTTATATTTTTTTGTCAATAATGACAGGATGGAGAAGACACATATCTATGACTTTGAGTTGATGAAATAAAGACAATTGGAGAGTTTCAAGAAGTGATAGTTTTGTGTTGATGCAGAAATGTAGAATTGACAAATTGAAGAAATTTTATGTCTATTTTGTTTGACAATTACTTTTTTCTTTATCATCGTCAATGAATTAATGATTGTAATATTCTTAATTGCTCAATTTTTTGTAGTAATTTTTCAATGAATTCTTAATTTTTGTCATGATTTCACTTTATAATTTATTTGCATTGTCTTTCAAGTTTGACCTTTATATTCACTCGTTACTCATCCGATCCACCCGAAAACCCGTTCATGATGGATGGATTTGATGTGGATGTAGATTTTAATGTATGATGGACGAATGGTTGGACTATGAAAAATTAACGAATGAACGACGGATGAGCCTTCACCCTGTATAAACCCGACCCGCTGCCACCCCTAGATGGTACTCCATAGTTAGTATTATAAAAAGGGCAACAGTGTCCCGTAAGGGTTACATTTTGCAGCACCTTGATTTTATGACCTCCTAACATGCGTAGTAATATACGGAGTCTCGGTGGAACCTCGATCACCTGGTGACCTCGTACCTGCCTCCAGCCCAAGCGTACTCCTCTGTCCTCGGCATCTCGAAGCCGGACAGTCCCAGCCGACGAATTTACGAAGATGGTTGGTACTCTTTCTGAGCTGTTTCTATTACCCCTTTCCTAGTTTTTCACCTAAAAAATAGGATTTTTAAACCCTAATCTGAAATATTCATGAATTTATATCGTAGTTCCATAATCTTTTAGCCTAATCACCAGCCTTTTTCATAAATGAATGAACAGGCCTGCTATTCAGTAAAGTTTGAAACATGGGACTTTTATAGAAATTGTTTATATGAAAAAAGTCTCCTCCTATTTTCATAAAAGTTTAATATTTAGATTGAGTTGATACTCCTATTTTAGTAATTAGCGAAAATTTGGATGTTGGAATTTAGAGTAAAATAGATACCTTGATGGTTAATTCCATTGCCTTCATGTTTTCCCTTTTTACAAAATAAAGATATCTCATGCTCGTAATCAATAATTTGATATTATAAACTGTTACGAAGACGAATATCACTTCCGTAACGTTGAGATCTTCCCACTTTTGAAGGTATGTGAGATTATGAATAGTGAAATGAGATATAATTTATTGCTCATATGATGGGAAGAAGATAGTGACACAGTGTGATGGAATGAAGGATAAATCCAAAAAGTAGGTGTAATAGTGTATTTTTTTAAAAATTATTGAGGGCATGATATGCAGTTTTAGAAATGGAAAGATTTGTTAGTTACGGTTAAAAAAAGAAACTGGGAATATCTTTACGTTATGGCGGTAGTATAATATACTATACAGAAAACCTGTTTTTCTTGTGCTTTTTTGAAGGCAGTAAAACTCATCCTCGCATCGAGTTATTCATTCTATGTATTATATCATTACTCATGTAAGTTTCAAAAGAAACATTTAATCATGATATCATTTATATGAGAAATGTACAGTGAGAGAGATGTTTCTTTGATTTTTTTAGAATTTCCTTTCTTTTTCATATTTTTTTTTGTAGTTCTATGAGTTGAGATATTAAATTTCGCTCAATATATTAGTTTTTCATTGACTAAGATACAATTTTAGAATTGTTGTAACGTTACACATGATTATTATTTTCAAGTTTAATTTTAAATATATTTCAAGCATCCAAAGTACAGGTGTTAGATCCACCACGGGTGGAGCAATTGGTTGTAACGAAAATAATGTGCACTACATGTGGTACACCAGCGGCGAAATAGCGGCATCAGCATTTCTTGGGCTTGTTCCCTATAGGTCTTAGGGGCAGTTACGGCCTTACGGGGTTCAGAGATAGTTACAGGGTTCAGAGATAGTTTAAGGAGTAAACTAGGTTTTTAAAGTAAAAGTAACTCTACAAAAGACTCGTAACCCCGTATGTAGTCCTATCACTGCCTTCTAACTAGTATCTTCTTCAATTGGTTCTGCTTCTACCATAGTCACATAGTTCGTGGAACGCTTTGGTAAGGGAACGAGGATCGCAAACGCGATTCACTAGATCTAGCGTACCCGGTTCGGAGGGGGGTAGGTTCATTCCAGTACGCGTTCGGTACGTTGTACCACATGTTCAGTACGTTGTATCTTATATTTTGGTACTATAATAAAACTGAATTTCATTTTTCACAAGTTTTAACAAAAACAGATTTTGATAATCATGAGTCATAACATTAAACAAAATAATTACACCAAAAATACATTAAACAAAATAAAAAACATTAATATTCTAGAAATTCCTAACATTAATATTCCATAAACTGAATAGAATAAACTAATAAAGTCGCAAAAGTGGACTGTAGCATAGTAGTAGTAGAAGAAGATCCAGTGTTTGGCCTAAGAAGAAGAAGACTGAGTGTTTCCCGTTGTTTCCCTCAATTTATAACAGTTACTCATACACTACACTGTTGTTAGTAGGCTCAGAAATCGTATAGCCTAGTCCAAAATTCGTATGCTTGTTAGTACAATGACGGGAAACGAAGCGCCGACCTGTTTGGGGAAACAACGCTTCAACCTGGCCAACGACGGGAAACGATGTTTCCACCTGCGCAGTGACGTGAAACGGCGATTCAAACCGCTTCATGCAGAGATTTGGAGCATTTTGAAATGGGATTGCGAGCGTTTGCGAAGACCGAATGGGACTAGTCGTCACCCATACCGTTTAGCCTTCCCACCCGCGACCGGATCAATATGTATGCATGCAATTTTTTTAGCAGGGTGTAACCTGAGCAGGCACACGTAAAGAAAAATTACAAAAATGCTATGTTTAAAGAATTATCCCGTGTTGAAGTTGCTGCACGTCGGAAAAGGGATTATGCTATAACTGTGATGAGAAGTGGATTTCTAACCGCATGCGCGAAAGATTATTTTTCATTAACATTATGGACCTCGTTCTCGACGAGGTTCGAAAAACCGTGAATGAGCCTTCCCTGTCTATCAATGCAATGATTGGGTTCGGGTCAGATTCCACCATGCAACTGGACGCAACCTTTTCCGACCAGTCCGTGATAGTTCTGTTTGATTTGTGTAGTACTCACGATTTTCTCCACCAACGTTGTGTCCTCATGAACACCCTTGAGCAACATTCTAGCACCTGCCTTCTGGTTTTGGTGGTTAAAGGAGATCAGGTACCCATCTTTAGTACATGTTCGAGACATCTGTTCACTGTTAACCATGATTAATTTCACGCAGATATTTATGAGCTTTTGTTGTCCAGTTTTGATATGATATTCGGCATCCAATAGCTTGGTGGGCTTTGCTCCATATAATGGAGAGATCGTGGCACCCTTAACCGAACTGTTGAAAAAGAATGAGTTCACCTCGAATGGCATACTCTGCCCCCTGCCACCAGTGATCCCATAGGCCCCCGCTGCCATCAGTGGCATACTCTGCCCCCTGCCACTGCCCACAGGCATCTCTTAAGCAAAATAACCCCACCAGTGGCACATCTGTTACCTGTAACCCTAGCCACCGCACTCACCACCAATTTGAAACCCTAGCCACTTCCTGACTGTATCCTAGTGTTAGTATTAATCTTCATGTTGTTGCCTTCAAAGTTGTTGACATGCCCATCGCTGATGGTATTGTCTCATTCGCCGCCGTCGTCAAGGAGTAGAATATAAGAGCGCTAAATCGACAATTTCATCAACACCATCCCCGACACATATTTTATCCAAATCTAGATGTGGTCCGATTCTTATCTATTCAAAACATAGAGGTAATATTCATGCTATTATTTCAGAATTAAATTGCTCTAAGTGAGAAATGTTCCGTTTTTAAATTTTCAGTACTTCTTTCAGTACATCTGTTCACTGTTAACCATGATCAATTTCACACAGATTTTTATGTGCTTTCGTTGTCCAGTTTTGATATGATATTGGGCATCCAATAGCTTGGTGGGCTTTGCTCCATATAATGGAGAGATCGTGGCACCCTTAACCCAACTGTTGAAAAAGAATTAGTTCACCTTGAATGCAGCAACAGAAACAACTTTCACAACATTGAAACTTTGTTTGTCCACCACATTTGTGCTTCAGCTCCTAGACTTCACTAAGACTTCCGTTGTGGAATGTGATGCTTTTGGGAGTGACATATGGGGCCGTGTTGCAGCAAGAAGGTCACCCAATGGCTTATCGCGGTTATCCATAGTTACCCACATATAGCCGCATACATAATGTCTTTCACGTGTATCTCCTAAAGCTACACAAGGGACCCGTACCATATACCACTGGTTCCTTGCCACCACTAGATACTATCCCAAAGGTTTTGAGGCCATCCATAGTGCTGCGTAGTTGGCTTAATCACGGGGTAATGGAGGTGCTGGTCTAGTGGTATGAGAAGCCCATAGAAGAAGCTTCTTGGGAAACAATGGCGTCATTTTGCACGACTTATCTGGATTTTGAGCTTGAGGGTCTAGTTAATGTGTATGCCTGCAATTTTTTTAGCAGGGTGTAACCTGAGCAGGCAAACGTAAAGAAAAATTACAATCCTATGTTTACGAAATTATCCCGTGTTGAAGTTGCTGAGCGTCGGAAAAGGGATTATGCTATAACTGTGATGAGAAGTGGATTTGTAGCCGCATGCTATAACTGACTCATGTCCTTGATTCTAGTATTGTTTCTAATTCTTGTATCCTTTCCTATTTGTAATCCTAAGGCTCCTATAAAGGGGGTTTTGCTATGGAATAAAGTACGTTTTGGAGAATTAATTTGTGTGTCTTGACATCGTCGGACGCCGATTAATTTTACAAGAAGAATAGCTTCATTTAATTTTGCCGATTCTTTCTCTTTCCTTATTAATATCTCGAACGCACCCCCGGACAAGAGCTAGTTCTCGAATCCTTAACACTCCCCAAGCGACACCTTCGTTCCTGAGCAATGATTAGAGCAACACCTTCTTCAGTGTCGCCTTCTTGAGTTCTTCTATAAAAGACGGGTGTGCCGCTTTCTTCAGTAAAATGATAGGGTCATGGACAGCCTATAATAGTCAGAATAATAGAATTATAATAAATAATGTAATAGTGTACAAATAAGGGTGTTGGGCCATTTATGTTATGATTTTGGCCCAGCCCTTGAGAATAGCCTTATTATAAGAATTGGGAAGTGGGGAAAGGAGGTTGCGCCGATTTTTATTTGGGAATTAAGGATCTGGGAGAGTCGAGGCCTCTCAAAGTGCCCGCGTCTGTATCTTCTTCTTCTTCTTTTCTGCGTTTCAACTCAATAATGCTCACCGATCTACTGTTACGAAATCTGAGTGCCTATCATTGGTATCAAATACTCATACACTGTTGTTAGTAGGCTCAAAAATCACAAAGCCTAGTCCAAATTCGTATGCTTGTTAGTACAATGACGGGAAACGAAGCGCCAACCTGTCTGGGAAACAACGCTTCAATCTGGCCAACGATGAGAAACGATGTTTCCACCTGCGCAGTGACGGGAAATGACGATTCAAACCGCTTCACGCAGAGTTTTGGAGCGTTTTGAAGTGGGATTGTGAGCGTTTGCAAAGACCGTATCAATTTCGTACCGTGTTTGGGTATGGAACGAACGGTACACAGATCGTGTCTTCCACAACGATTTGTGTAGGTGTATATATGGCTTTGACCATACTCTGACAACCTTCTACATGACTCCAAAAGCCTTACAATTCGATATATAGATTCAATTTTTTTTAAAGACTAATAAGAAGAGCTTGATCTTGCTAGATTGTGTACTAGTATAAAATGTTGAAAAGACAAGAAGAGAGCTTCCTGCAATGTTTGTGGCAACTCTAAAGCTATTACAAGAGCGTTAAGGAACTAATAGGAATAAGTGGAGATGTTGACATATCAGCCATGAAGTTTATGACCTTTCATTAGTAATTAAGACCAATATTTAAAACTGCGTAGTGCCTTATGGCAATGATGCGCGCCTTGCTACTTTATGAGATTTTCCGCCGGAAGGCTTATCCCAATTTAGGCAACATGTATGCCTGCAATTTTTTTAGCAGGGTGTAACCTGAGCAGGGACACGTAAAGAAAAATTACAATCCTATGTTTACGAAATTATCCCGTGTTGAAGTTGCTGCACGTCGGAAAAGGGATTATGCTATTACTGTGATGAGAAGTGGATTTGTAGCCGCATACTATAACTGACTCATGTCCTTTACCAATAGTCTGCTTCGTTAACAGATCCTGAAACACACAATATTCAGGAAAAAATGTTACAGAACAATTAAGAGTACGCATGATTTTACTGATGGAAAACAGATTAAATGTGAAATTAGGAAGACTCAAAATAGGTGATAATGGTAATGTAGAAGTTGGAACAACAGTACCGGATCCAAGAATGGGTGAGGTAGATCCATCAGCTAAAGTGACACTAGAAGTAGGTAAATATGAATGAAATGATGAGAATAGACTAGGATTATCGGTCATATGATCTGTGGCACCTGAGTCAATGACCCATTTTGAGGATGATGAAACAAGACATGTGTTTGAAATACCTGAATTCGCGGCTACCGAGATAGGGACATATGAATGTTTTAGAGATTCTTGGTAGCAAATAAATTTGGTGTACTCGTCTGAAGAAATAGCAATTGATCCATCAGATGAACTGGTAGCGGAAGCAACATGAGCAAGCTGATTTCCTTGATTTTTGAACAGCAATTTTCTACATTCTTTGATCAAGTGTCCGGGCTTCTTACAATAATTGCATATTACTCCTCTGTCAAATCCACTCGTACAAGACATTTTCTTTTTTTTTTTAATTTTTTTTTAAAAACAAGGAAAACAAAGGAATGTAATCTCACTTTTCTTTTAATGTCTTATCCTCCATGTTCGCACACTAAGTAGAGGCTTGGTAAAGAAGTCCTTACCAGAAGAGTGTGTGCGATCTGGCTGAGGATAAAAATCCTCTTCAAATAGTTCAACTCTGAGAGTTGAAGGCTGGGAGAAGTTTGCGCTCCCAGATTTCTGAAATTAGCTAGTTTGCCTGGTACCGTCTTTTTCTTTCCGATGTCAGCTTATTGAAGAACTGTGACGAATACTAAGCATCCCAAAGAAAAGCGACAGCAGAAGATAGGCGATATGCGGGCCAGCTGGTCGGCAGTTGTCGATCGTGAATCTGGACGGAGAGTGAGCGTCACGTGCCGGCGCGTGAAATTCCGACTTGAGTTCCGGCGGCGCGTGTGGAGTATGGGCGTCGATTTTCTTCTCCAGATCTCAGGGTTTGGTTTCGGCGCAAAGAAACTATCTGAAAGTGTCGGTGATAACAGTAGAGCTGAAAGCTCTAAGGATCGAAAACTGTAAAAGAATGAACTGAAAGCTTTAGGCCTCTGAACTTCTGAAGTTTCTGAAATGCTCTAATAAATTTATGGAGTCTCTGAGAACAGAGGGATTCTGGGAAGAGGTTATGGGAAAAATTTCTGGGAAGAGGTTCCGGGAAAAAATTCTGGGAAGAGGTTCTGAAGGTTCTGGACTGAAATCAGTTAGTGTTATAGAGATTCTAACCCTATCAACTGGTATCAGAGACCAGGCTCGTTTGGTTACACTCTAGCAGAAACCCTAACTGCAGAAACCCTAGCCGTCCACCCCAGAAGCTGCACCTGCGCCGACCGCCGCGAAACTGTTGTTCAGTGATGGCAGAAGATGGTAAGGTCAGAATAGACAAGTTTGAGGGCCATGATTTCGGTTTCTGGAAGATGCAAATCGAGGACTACCTATACCAGGAGAAGCTACATGAACCCTTGTCTGGTATTAAGCCCACAGAGATGCCTCAAGCCGAATGGGATTTGCTTGACCGTCAAGCATTGGGTGTGGTTAGGTTATCATTGGAAAAGAACGTTGCGTACAACATTGTCAATGAAAAAACAACTCACGGATTACTCAAAGCGTTGTCGAACATGTATGAAAAACCTAGTGCATCGAATAAGGTTTTTCTGATTAGACAACTCGTGAATACGAAGATGAAGGAAGGAGCCTCAGTTACTGATCATGTGAACGAATTCAATTCAATATTGACGAGGTTAGTTTATGTTGAAATTACATTCGATGATGAGGTACAAACGCTGCTATTATTATCTTCATTGGCTGAGAGTTGGCCAGGAACACGGTCACAGCAGTTAGTAGTTTAACGGGAAATACTAAGCTTACGTTCAATGGGATTCGAGATCTCATTCTGGGAGAAGATATCCGTAGGAGAAGTTCAGGGGAATCTTCCAGTTCTTTGTTAAGCACTGAAGGCAGGAGCAGGAAAACGGAGAAAGGGCATAGTAAAGGGAGAGGTAGATCGAAATCTAGAAAAAGAGGGCAGTCAAAGACGGAAGGACATCACGTGCTGGAATTGGAAAGAAACTGGTCACTTTAGAAATTAGTGTCCGGCAGGCAATAAGAAAGGTGGACAGGATGCAAACGTTGCTGCTGAAAGCTCAGATGATGCATTAGTTTGCTGTGTAAATTTGCTTTGTTGACAGTCCTATTGAATCATGGATCATGGATCAGGTGCGTCATTTCATGCATCACCTTGCAAGGAAATGATGAGGAATTTCAGGCCTGGTAAGAGCACTACTGGTTATGTATTCACAATGGGAGGAACTGTTATTAGTTGGATGTCCAGGCTTCAGAGTAGTGTTACTCTCTCAACCACAGAGCCAGAATATATGGCAATTGCAGAAGCAAGCAAAGAGCTTATATGGTTGAAGAATTTCCTATCAGAGTTGGGCTTTGAACAGAAAGATAGTGTTCTGTATTGTGACAAACAGAGTGCAATTCATATTGCAAAGAATCCGGCGTTTCACAGTAGAACTAAGCACATCAAGATGAAGTATCATTTTATCACGGAGTTGATAAATGATGGAGAGTTGCTACTGACGAAAGATGGATAGTTGCTACTGACGAAGATTCTTGGTACAAAGAATCCTGCTGATATGTTTACTAAGGTGGTGACAACTGAGAAGTTGAAGCTTTGCATGGCTTCAACTCGCCTTCAAGAATAATGTTGAGAAGGCAGGGGCAACTAGGTGGAGCTTGAGAAGGTATGGTGTTTACAGAAGTACAAAAGAGTGAAGTGGAGTGCAGCTGATCATGTTTCGAAGCCTCCAAATGAGAGATTGTTGGGGTGTAGGCTCCGGCCCATTAAGATCTGGGGGCCAAATAAGCAGTGAGCAGCAGCCGGCCCTAGATAGAAGTGCAGCTAGCCATAGCTAGATGTGCAGCCCAGAGTTTAATTAAAAGTTCACCCTAAATATTTGCCTATATATATTGCCTCATGTACTTGTAAACGATCTGACTGTATTTTTCATCACCTCAATAAGACAGAAACTCTAGATGCCCCCGTGGATTAGGTCAGTAACCACGTTAAATTCTTGTGCCGTTCTTCTCGTTTTCTTTCTTTCTACTATTTTTCAGATTTGTGTGTGTGAGTGCTAGAGATTCTAACCCTATCAAAGTCGACCCTTCTCCATCGCTAGGATGCCTATTCGGCGACTATGCGACATTGTGACATGTATAGTTATGATACTCGAGTTACGATCTTTTAGCTGCTTCTAATTTGAGCTACAATCTCGGGTTTAACAACCTTGGATGTATCCCATAGAATCATCCCATGAAATAAAAGAGTGCGTCCAGAATTTTATGTGATAGAGGTATGCCGACTAGACTTATGGATAAATTCTATCAGACAAACAAGTGGAAGTAACACCTATAGAAGATAAGTTGCAGGAGTCTCGACCGTGGTGGTTTTGTCATGTGCGTAGAAGATCGAGTAATTTACCAGTTAGACAAGTAGAGAGATGTGGAGAAGATGTGAGGAGATGGAGGGGAAGATCTAAACTGACATGGATAAAAGGAATCATGAGTGATATGTTTCTTCTTGGGCTAGATGTGAGGAAGGCTATGGAGAGCAAAGTGGAGAGTGAAATGATCTCTTTTCAACTTTTTTTTCTTTTATATTTTTATGTTCTTTATCTTTCTTATACTCCATGTTCTTTATCCTTCTATCCTTTTAATTTATATATAATATTTTTACCGTTTTGATTTTATCATTTTCTTCTTTATCTTATCTTTATCATATCCTTTTTATCTTGCGTTAACTTTTTTGTGCTCCGACATAATGTATCAATTCATGTTATCCGATCACTCTATGCTCCACTATCAGGGATCTGCAACACAGACACACTGAATTTGATATTGGCTTTTACTATGTAGCATTTTGATTGTTCCAATTTGGTCCGTTTTTGTTGAGTAATCATCAGCACACTCAATTATTTTATCCTCAATTGTTAGTAGTGTTCCAATTGTTCCATTGAAAATTTTAAAACATGTTTTCAGGATGAGAACATCCTTCGCGCGCAAACCAAAAGAGGTACAATCTCTGAGTTTGCTGCGGAAATGCCAACTGCAAAGAAGCCAAATCTGTCTCCCTGTCCTAGTGATGACCCAACTGGAGGTGATAGTAAGGTATGTTCAATCATTTTGTAACTCAGTGCAGGATAAATAAATACATTTGTTATATGATGAGTAACTCAGTGATAGTAAAGCCACCAACCTGGCTTTAAACTTGATTAAGGAACCATCTGAGTTTTCCTTAACTCTGAACATCCAATTTCCTAAAGACCATGTGATTCTTCATCAAGGCATCATATTCTATTTCACAGCTGCAAACCAGTTAGGGGATGAAAGATGAAAAAGCTTGCTTAACTGAGTTAGGCTTAGTATGAACTAATAGTAAGGTAGGATTCAGTCTAGGTTTTGCAATTCCAGATTTTGCTCTAGTAGTCATATGATGAGTACCCGAGACTTTTACAGGTGCAAGCGTTAGTGTTTGCCTTGCTTCCAATGTCCGTGCAAGGTTCATTGCGTAACCCAGGTTGCCTGGTTTTACTATCTCCACATCAGCCTGTAAGTGGGGATGGAGACCAGCGACAAACAAAGCAATCTGATGGGTGGACTGTATTTGTGAAGTTCTTGCTAAGGCCTTTTGAAATTGGGCACAATACTGATCAACTAATCTATTCTGCATCAAATTGTTAGCATTCTTGGACTGAGAACGGGTCCAGGGACGACTTGGGGTATCAGGGTACCCGGTTGAGGTGGTAACCTGCCTGCTAGGGTTTCTCCTCTTCTTGCCCGTGGTTGGAAGAGCGCAGGAAGAGTGCACGGGGGAATTCCGTGACTTCTCTCTGGGAATAATTCTTCTAATGATCGATACCTTTATTATACTGAATAAAGATTATAAATAAATAGGCATCCTGCCTTTAAAATGCATCTGTAAACATTATGTTATATAATCCGGCTAGTACTCACTGACAACTCGGCGAGTGCTCACTACTCAGGGACACACCTTATCGAGTAGGTTACCAACGTAGTTCATTTCAACATTTTGATTTAATAGTCGAGTACTCGGCGACTTTTGTGACTCGGTGACTCTCAAAATATTTAGTTGGCTAGAATTTAATTCTTTTTTGTTGAATTTGAAATATTGAAACTATAGTGAGATACTATGAAATTTAGAAGTAATTATTAGGTACTGTAATAATATTTTAAAGGGAGAATAAATATAAATAATACTCTTCTGTCCCTTAAAACTTTGTCAAGTTTGACCGACACGGAGAATAATAAAGTAAAAACTGTGTGGTTAAGTTTTGTGCAGAGGAGAGAGAAATAACTGAAACGACAAATTAGTTTATTAAAAGGAAAGTTACAAAGGTTTTGGGACATCCCAAAAATGAAAGATGACAAAGTTTAAGAGACCGAGAGAGTTCAAACTATCTTCCGCGAACAAAGAATAATACGTGCTTTTTTAATCACTTTTCAACTATTTGAACATATATCAAAAGTGATATGGAGCCTATATCAAAAGTGATATGGAGCCAATATTCACTAAAAATTTAGTCATTTGACTCATCAGAGACTATTATCAAAATATCAAATAAGTTATTGTATTTCCAAATATTATTTATTTAATGGTTCAATATTAGTCTTTGATGTCTTAAATGACGGTAATTATTGTCGAAATATGGTTCCATATTTTTTGTGATCTATATTCAAATAATTAGTACTCCCTCTGTCCCATTTTATAAGATACCTTTCTATTGACTTCGTCAACACAAATCACTCTTAATCTCTTACTTTCATCATTTTCATTTACCCCAGTGCCGCAAAGGCTCCCACCTACGGTTGGGTAAGGGGGGGTCGGATGTACGCTGTCTTACCCCTGTACTAAAGCACAAAGAGACTCTTTCCGGATGACCCATAGTGAAAATCGCGTCCAAAGTTGCGTGGACTGGCTGCTGCTCCATAACAAAGAAGCGCAGACAGTTTAGTGAGCCATTTTGCTTTATTCCATCATAATCTCAAGCCAAAAAATAAAATCTCTTACTTTATATATCAAAATTTTATGAAATTTGAATTATTCCTTGCAAGCTTTGTAGCAGTTTTAATGTAGTTTTTGAATATGTAAATTTTTATATTCTAAAACTAATTTTAGTGTTGACGGAGATCAATTTGCTTTATCGTCGATCAAACATCGTTAATCGTAAAGTGCCTTGTAATTCGGGAGGGTGGGAGTATTATATAAAGAAATCAAGATTATTGTCATTCTCTTTGTGAGTTCTTCATCTTCGTCTTCTTCTTACTTTTATTTGTCTTCAACTGCTTAAACACTATTTTTGTGATGTTTCATAGCGCACCAAAGCGTGTCTAGTGATTTATTGCATTTTACGTTTTACTACATACTAATGTTTAATAATCATATTCTAATATTCCACACTATGTTTGTCATACGTATTTATGAAACAATTATGTGTACACATAAAGCGCAGCCCGGTGCACAAAGGCATCTCCGCAAGGCAAAGGTCCAGGGAACTGAGCGAAGGATCCACCAGAGAGGTGTATAAGGGTAAGTCTCCCCTTGTCAAATTTGACAAGAGGTCACTCCCATGACTTGAACCCGTGACCTCTCGGTCACACAACAACACTTAAACCACGCCAGGCTCCCCTTCAATTATGTGTACACATATGTTCAATGAAATATGTGTACCCAAACAGACGTTGATTAGAGGAGTTGGGAGTGATAAGTTTCTTCTTGAGTTGGATAAGGATATGACTTTGGAGGGAGCAAATGTGAAGACCGAGTATTCATGTGGCGGATTGATGTATTATCATTTTTCCCTTTCTCTTCTTGTTCTTTCTTATGTTTTTTATCCTTTTATCTTTTTTTATTTATATGTAACTTTTTATCCTTGTTATCTTATTCTTTTTATGAATATCTTATATCTATTTTAGATTATCTTTTATTCTTTTGATGTTATACCTTATCTTTCTTGTCTTTTTTCTTTTCATTCCAAATTCCAATATCATGTATCGATTCATGTTAGCCGACCCCAAAAATCTTTTGGGAATAAGGGTTGGATGTTGTTGTATATGTTCGAAAAAATATTTTCAAATGTATTTTTTTTATATATTTATGTATTTCCTCCATGTTTGGTATTTTATATTTTTCAAAATTACCACTTTCCTTTCCGTGGTACCCTATGCTACTTAATTGTTCTCCATTTGGTGGAACGGAAATGTGAGATAGAAGATCTCAATTTCTCACCACATGCTGGCTAGGAATCTTGAGTCGGAGAGAGAAAAAATCATTATATATCCTCGTGGAAAATAGAAATTGAATAAAAATAAAATCAACTAGGTAAATGTCCATCAAGTTGATCCTTCTCATATATTGAACATTTGATTATCAATTGGATACTCATGAGTTTTTTATGAGAAGGGAGGCTTTGTTGTATCGTAAATTCGTAATGGTTTTATCATCCAACTACGCAATGTTGAATAATTTATTTTTTGTGTGGAAAACATGGATACCGTAACAGACTATGTGCCAAGTCTGCTGCTTTCTGGCTAGGATGGATAGTGACCAGGCAATTTGGTTTAACTAACGGATCAGTTAGTAACTAACCTGAAGTTAGTTGTATTTTTTGCTTTTAAATACCTGAATGTAATGAGTAGTAATATATGTAAAACTAATCATCTTCCTCCTAATACTCCCTCTTTCCGTAAAACCTCGAAGCCAGTGACAGTGACCTGCAACACCCAACACCACAGTGAACACACTGCCCCCAACGTTAGAGTGACTGCACTGTCCTGGCAACCAAGTGACCCCACTGCCCCAACGACCCTATCGCCCTCTGGTGCCTGAGTGCCTTCACCACCCCGCTGCCACCAGTGACCCCATAGCCCCCCACTGCCACCAGTGATCCCATAGGCCCCCACTGCCATCAGTGGCATCCTCTGCCCCCTGCCACTGCCCACAGACATCCCTTAAGCGAAATAACCCCACCAGTGGCACATCTGCTACCTGTAACCCTAGCCGCTGCACTCACCACCAATTTGAAACCCTAGCCACTTCCTGGCTAAATCGTAGTGTTAATATTAATCTTCCTGTTGTTGCCTTCAAAATCATTGACATGCCCATTGCTGATGGTAATGTCTCATTCGCCGCCGCCGTCAAGGAGTAGAATGTAAGAGCGCTAAATCGACAATTTCATCAACACCATCCCCGACACATATTTTTATCCAAATGTAGATGTGGTCCGATTCTTATCTATTCAAAACATAGAGGTCATATTCATGCTATTATTTCAGAATTAAATATGCTCGAAGTAAGAAATGTTCCGTTTTTAAATTTTCGGTACTTCTTTCAGAGTAAAGAAACTTCAGGAGATGCTTATGACCCATCTGATGATGAAGTTGTTGAGAGAATTCAATACATGATGAAACAGATTGGTGATAATGAGGTACTTTTCTAACTATGACCTGTGTACATGTGGTACTTTCGTCCCAAAATTTTCAACCCACTTTCCGTTTTGAGATGTTCCAAACTTTCTAGTTTCTCCCCATTTCCTTTTTATGAATGTTTTATGTGGTTGGTGGTGTTTACGCAACAACTGTACATGTTTGCTTTCTTAGTTAGCAAATTTAGTTGAAGTGGGAAGGAAAATAATTTTAGGACGGAGTATATTGGATGTTTATAAATGCCTTCTGTGTATTTACGGCTTTATGTACATCTGGTTTGAAATTTAGTCGTGTAAGCTAGAAGGCCCATATTATAAAACAAAAATCAGTCATGGCCGTTTAATAGATTTTTGAGGCCATGCTTTAAATGTAAACTTCAGTTCCCACGTTACAAAACCAAACTTGTAATTTTTATTCAAAACAAGTGTTGTTATAAGGATAGAACTACTGCAGAATTGTGAGAAACTTGGTTGAATTTGTTAAATGAAAATACAAAAGTTTAAGACCTTTAAACTACAAGTAAAACAATTTGCATACTATTCATTTAAAAATTAAATACGGAGTACACAATTGCAGATTATGAACTAATTTAAACAATTGAGGCAGCTAGAATAGACCACTACATTGCAGACTAGAAAATAAATTTAAAGTTGAACCTATTTCTTGTTTCTGCATTTAAAAAACTAAGAATTGAGTAACTAGTTATGCACTATTCGCACGAATAATTAGTTGCGTGTTAAAAAGAAATTGAATAAATAATAAATCAAGTAATCAGCCAAACACTTATTTCTATCTATAGTGATCAAACTTAAATTTGAAAAAATTTCTTATTACAACTAATCAACGATGAATTAAGTTTGTACGGCCACATAGTTAATCAATCAGTTCAAATACATTGTTACCTTTTAAATTTAAATCAAATTTAAAATTTACAAATTCAGTAACTCATACAAGCAAGATTTGTAGGGCATGTGTGTAAATCGATGCTTCTACAGGGAAAATTGAAGAAAGAGTTTGCTTGAATCGATTTTTCGGACTAACAATTCAGGATATAGGAATCCCTTTGTAACCAATGGCGTGCAAATGCAATCAATTCTGCAGTGTATTTCCTTGAGCCTTATGGCGTATTCTCTGTGGTGGATCTGGTGTTTTTTTGTGTCGGGTGGATTGTGGGTAATAGAGGACTTTCATATTTGAGGCTCGAATTAAATTGGGGCCCTAATCTCAATCACCTGTGAAAGGACCGGTTTCACTGGTTATAAGTCGGCCTTGTTAAGCATCAGTCTTTTAACGAGATTTGATATTTTAGGGATTGAAGCAAGTGCTCGCGGTAAAATATGGAGAAGGCACGGAGAAATATAACCGTCGGTTTGGAGAGGTAGTCATATGCTCCATATTTGATCTCATATCTCATTTGACCTGTCTTATATTATTATTCATATTTTTATTTATATTGTTCCAGATTATGAAGAACTATAGGTATACCGAGAAAGCATGGTTGGCGCTTCCAGGTTTGACAGGAAGGGTGCATGTCAAAGCTGTTTTGGATAGCAGAGGCCACCTCCTTTACCTGATAACCCGTTTTTTACCTGATAACCCGTTATTTACCTGATAACCCATCCTCAACATAACCACCCAGAATTTGGAGTTCGGAATCCTTTTGAACGTTACAAGTGAAAATCACTAAATGGGAGGAAGTTTAATTAGGAGCGGTATCTCTCAAGTACTAATGTAGTAACTTATTACTTGTGCTCGTAAAAATCACTAAACGGGAGGAAGTTAATTAGGAGCGGTGTGCTGTCAAGTACTAATGTAGTAAATTTTTACTTGTGCCCGCAAAAATCACTAAACAGGAGGAAGTTTAATTAAAAGTGGTGTGATGTCAAGTACTACTGAAGTAAATTATTACTTGTGTTCGGAAAAATCACTAAACGGGAAGAAGTTAATTAGGAGCGGTGTGTTATCATGTACTATTGTATTTGGTAGTAAATTATTATTTGTGAGTTGTGACTGCATGACTGCATGTCTGCATGGGTAGCATGACTGGCCTAGTCAAGCTCAAATTGGCCACTTTTATCGAGAATGTCCAACAGTTAGGCATGGCCTGGGCCCAGGCTGGGCCTCGGGGTCGGGACTGGCAGTTTTTTTGGGCAAAGTAGAGGCTCCCTCAACCCCTCCAAAACACACAGCCCAACACTTGAAAAACAAAAAAAAAATTGAAAAAAAGGCCAGATCCGGGCTTGGTCTGGCCAGACCGATTCCTATTTTGGTTGACACGAGCCTGTCCTATCATCCTATCTAACCCCCGGGCCGGGCCTACCCAGACTGGTCTCTAGCTGGGCCACTAGGCCGGTCCGGTTCCAAACTGCCGGGCCGAACTGGTCGGCCTGGAACCGGTCAATTTCTACCAATAATCAAAACATGCAACAATCGTTTGATCCCATTGGTTTCAAAGGTGTAATCCATCTAGGTTTTCTAGCTCTTAAGACTTAAACACGTACATATCTTCTTTGAATTTGAGGAAGATTACATCAAATTAGGCCTGGACTCGGGCCGGTTCCGGTTCGGGCCTGAGCCTGACCCGGCCTAATTTTGTTCGGAGGAGGCCTGAGCCTGGCCTGTATTGAAGGCGGTCCCGGTTCGGTTCGGGTCACCCGGCCGGGCCCTGAGCTTGGCCACCCACTGGGTCGGGTCGGGCCAATTTTTTTTTTTTTTTTTCTTTCCTATTTATTTTTACATCTTTTTGATATTAAAAAAAAGTTTCAAGTGCATTTATGTGAAATAGGATTTACATTTGAGAATTGAGAACAAAAATACAATAGGAAATACAATATGAGAATAATATAATTAATTCTAACTTTTTAACTTGTAACTTGTAACCAATTAAATAATTTGAGAAGTGCGACATATGAAAATCTTCGAATGTTTATTTGAAATATGAACTACAAGTTTACAAATCACAATAGAGAATTGAGGGAAAAATTTAAACATGAATTACATTTTATAATAAATTGTAAAATACTAATCAATCGGATTCTCCGGCATAGGTAGTGACCGTAGAGCCATCCTCGGTTGATTCATCCATGAAGTCTTGGGAGGGGGTGATGCTAATTTCTTGAGTTCTACGTAAGGTCTTCAACCAATCGTGGTATCATATAAGAGTCTCAAGAGATTCCATGCTCAAACTCGTTCTAGATGTCGTTAGGACATTCCTAGTCGAATTGAATTCTTGTTCCACGGCAACCGTTGAAACCGGCATTGTTAGCACTTTCTTAGCCATCCGTGCTAAAATCGGGAACACTCTTTCTTTTGGCTTCCACCACTTTAGAACGTCAAAGTCCTCATTTTCATCAAACTCAACCTCGTAATTTATATACAAAGAAATCTCATTAACTGTTGCTTTGTTCAGTAGTATGGATGGACCCGGGCCGGTCTGGTTCCGGGCCGGGCTCGGGCAGGCTTTTTTTGTAGAATCTCGGGCTTTTTTTTGTAGAATCATGGTTGGGCCTACCCGGCCGGATTGTGGGCCGGTTCGGTTCGGGCCCGGGCTATTTATTTATTTATTTTGGGCCTAAATCTGACATTCATATTTTGGGAATGGGTGCATGAAATTCCTGTAAATCCATCCTTTTCTCTCACTCTACAGCTCTTACTCTCTGTCCCTCACTCAACTATTCGCTCCTATTTCCCTCACCTCATACTTCAGGTTGGAAATGGAGATTGGTCAAATTATTGTGAAGGTTGAGACGCTCACGAGCCCGTTTCACTACAGATCTCTAATCGAAGATCTGCGCCTCGCAGTTGCCCTCACCGAAGATGATGGCATTACTCCTATCAAAATCAGAGAGTGTCACCTCTTGCCACCGCAAATCAATCTTAAGGAACACACGGTGCCACTAATCAACCTCAATTTTGAGGTTTAAAGGCGACGAAATACAGGTTGTCCTTACGCAATCTGCACTGCAGAGAAGAATCAGTTCCATTTTCAAAGGTGATGTTGATTAGTGGCATCGTGTGTTCCTTAGGATTGATTTGCGGTGGCAAAAGTAGACACTCTCTGATTTTTATAGGAGTAATGCCATCATCTTCGGTGAGGGCAACTGCGAGGCGCATGTCTTCGATTAGAGATCTGTAATTAAACAGGCTCGTGAGCGTCTCAACTTTCACAATAATTTGACCAATCTCCATTTCCAACCTGAAGTATGAGGTGAGGGAAGTAGGAGCGAATAGTTGAGTGAGGGAGAGGGAAGGGAGTAGGAGCTGTAGAGTGAGAGAAAATAATGGATTTACGGGAATTTCATGCAGCCATTCCCAAAATAAGAATGTCAGATTTAGGGTATGAATTTACGGGGGAAGGTAATCCGAGTTTTGTAGGGTCTGGTGGGGACTTTAGAGGAATCCGACTCTGGTATTTTTTTTCCTTTAACATTTCAGATTTAGCTAATCCGTTTTCTCTTTTTCCAAGGGAGTGCAGTCCGGCCTTGGTGCTGATTGGCCAAACAAGAAGCACATCGATTGTATGGTTCACCCCCACAACCTATTATAATCTCAACTCTCCCTCTATGCTCAGCCATCAAATTTGCTAAAATAATCTCAACTCTCCAATATTTGTACGGTTCACCCCCACAACCTCAATCCTCCCCTCTTTAAATACATTCAACATTATATCTATTCAATTACAAAAATAAATATTTAGTTACAAAAATAATACAAAAAGTGTTCTGGTTAGTTCTATATTTTCGTGTTCTTCTAATTGAGGTTAGAAGTACTACATTTTTTACTGATTTTATTATGTCGATCTGAATATTTAGTAGAACTTTATACTTCCTCCATATTTTTTTGTTTGCTAAACTTTCCTTTTTTGGATGTATTAAAAAATTTGATACACTTTCTCTCTTTGGTAAATTTTTCCTTTAAAAATATTCAACTATTCATTACCTCTACTATTTCACTCTTAAAAATGTGCCAACACCCATTGTAGAAACAAAAAAATACCGAGAGAGTATTAAAATGTAACTCATCTTAATAGTTGAAAAATTTAATTTAGTTATCATTATTTATTCTCAAATAACACTATAATATAATTCAATTCTTAATATGTATTATAATTGTTCCATAGAGAAAACATGCATTATAATTGGACTATACTGGTAATATTATCACAAGCTCGCCTAGACCTAGTCCATTTCTAGTTTCTGAAAAAAAAAAATGTTTACAACTGGTCCTTTTATAGTTTATGGCACAATGACAATACTAATTAGTAGCAAGTCTAAAATTTGTATCGGTACATATATTATGATTGCACTATACTGTTAAAATAATCACAAACTCGTCTATAACTAGTCCATTTCTAGTTTCTCGCAAAAGTTTTGTCTAGAACTAGTCCTTTTCTAGTTTCTGGCATGGTGAGAGTATTGCGCAGTGGCAAGTCTAAAATCTGTATCGGTACAATTATTGTAAGTGTACTGTACTAGTAAAATTATCACAATCACACTCACACTCTCAACCTCACCAAGAAGGAGAAGGGAACTGCCTCTCAAGAACTCTCACTCAGCCAGTCTCTGGTGTGTGTTTCACGCACTGAACAAGGGTGCGGGGGAGGGTATATAACATGGAAGAATTTGGCCTTATTAGAAGGGACTCACAAGGACACTCAAATAATACACTGCACACACAACTCATCACTAGCTCAATAATGAGCTGAATTCAAATTCTAACGGGAGAGGCAAATATTGACAGGCCAGACAGATAAATGGGTATAGTGTAATGGGCTGCTAGAAAGTGTGTTAATCATTATTAATATACAAAAAACGTTTGGGCCAACAATATATTAACAATCTCCACCTTTGGCCCAAGGTAGTGCACTTAGACAATCACGAAACCGCGGACTCATCATTGTCGGATCATTACAAGTATAATCACAAAGACAATACAAGTAATAGAGAGACACAAGTACTCTCGGGGTAAGATCACCAAGCATACCGAGTCCATAAAGGACTTAACTCTACCATAGGGTCCTCGAGTTCAAAACCGAAACCATCACAATGCTATTAACAAACACAAGGTATGTTAATAGCCCACGCAAGCAAGCATCCGGGAGAAGTTTGGGATCCCAACTAATCCAACAACCACATAAGGCAAGTACAAAGAAAATAAAAGAAACAATATTATTTCTATAACTAGCAAAGGTAGAGCTCACATAATCACATGGCATCACATTTTCAAAACACAAAGAAAATAACATACCAAACATCACAAAGAATTTAATTAAAAGAGAATTAAGCACATTTAAAACAAACTCAGAGAAAATATATTCAAACACTTTGCACATATCATCTCTCTCATGCTCCCTAATGTCTCTCTCTAATAACATGGCAATCACACAACTCAAGCATATTGCTCACAACATTCATATCATGGCAGTGGTAAGTCTAAAATCTGTATCGATACAATTATTGTAATTGTACTGTACTAGTAAAATTATCACAATCACGCCTGGAACTAGTCCATTTCTAGTTTCTGGCAAAGCTTTGTCTAGAATATGGTTGGACTCGGGTCGGGCCACTACTGTGCGGGACCGTGGACCGGCCCGGCCCGCTACTGTGCGGGACCAGGATCGGCCCGATTCTCGGGTCCGGGTCCGGGTCGGGCCTAGGTCCGGGTCGGGCCTAGGCTCGGGGGGTAGGGCGGGTCCGGGCTCGGGTCTCAATTTTGGTGAACCGGCCCAACCGGGTCGGACCCGGACCGGACCCGGTGGCTACCTGGGCCGGTCCCGGGTCCACTATTCTTGAACCATCGGCCCGCCCGGGTCTAGGCCCGACCTGGACCCGACCCGGACCCGACTCCATCCCTAGTCTAGAACTAGTCCTTTTCTAGTTTCTGGCACAGTGATAATAGTGTTTAGTGTAAAATCTACAATTTCACTGAACAATGTATTACAATGTAATACATAACACTGATATAGTTTCATTGAAAATTTATTTTCTTCTTGAACCGATGCCATTTTCTTACCCTG